ATTTTTAGAATTTTAAAGGACATATATATAACTATATATTCATGTTGCTATATTGTTTTACAAGATCTACATTTGTGGACAAATTTTAAATGAAAATATATATTGCATTATAATATATTCCTATTTTTTAAAACGTTTAATTATACAGGTAGTCTTCCAGGTATAATAGACCATTTAATGACCATTTGACATTACAACACCTCCCCAAAAGCTACAGACAAACCTGTTTCAAAGTTACAATACCTGCAGTGCCCTCATGGTCATTTGCTCTTGCAACCAACCATAGAAACATTGCACAAACCCATCCACCTATTTCTCTTCCATCTTGCCCCGCTGGGTCCCCGTAGGGTTTGCCACCCCAGCAGGATCCACCCATTCCTCCCCACTCCCACTCACTTAGCTTTCAAAGCTATCGAAATCTTAGGAAGTCAGGATAAGTATGGCTGCTCCATTGCTAGACCGTTGCTGGCACAATCAAGAATAAATCCTGCCAGTTTTTCTTTCCTCGCTATGCTTTGCTCCCCCAAAGCCCGCAGCTCTAGCAGAAAGGTAGTTTTCCTTGCTGGGTGACCTGAGAATAAATCCTGTCACTTTTGCCTTCCTCGCAATATTTTTTTCCCCCAGGATCAACAGCACTAGTGTAAAGCAACATAAAGGATTGTGCGGAAAGCAAAATCGGCAGGATTTATTTTCAGCTCACCCACTGCCAAAAACGGTAACTTTACACACTAGCTGGCTCTAGGGGAGCAAAGCATAGAAAGGAAAGCAAAAGCAGCAGGATTTCTTCTCAAATGTGTCATGTGGCCCAGCAATGGAGGGGTCCTCCCTACTCCAATTTCCTGAGCTCTGGATATCTTTCTATGATAAGTGTACAGTTGTGTGGGGTGGGGTAGGGAGGAGGCCCTTAGGGCTGTGGAGACTGCAAGGGGCAGGAAGCAGAGCATGGAATACCTCAGAGAATAGGGTGAGGCCTTGGGAGGCACAATGCAGGTGGGTCTGTGCCTGCACCAGGCCTCTTATGCTCTCCCCCACCCCTGAGTCAAACGCATGCTCTAATTAATGACCTGCATATTTGCTTAATGAATGCATTGGAAAGAGCAGGATGGGGAGGTTGTTAATAACATAATTATTTAATGTAGATATCAACTATAGACACTAATGGACAGGTTCTGTTACTGTCGTAAATCAAGGACTACCAGTACATTTTAAAAAAAATAAAAGTACAGAAATGCATTCAAAAACAATTGTACTGGGGTGGTTCCATTTAGATCTCAGTACTGCATGAAATTCTTGTGCATTTCTGAAGAAGAATGGTTTATACCATTCTGGAAGTTATCAAAATGGGCAAAGCTTACCAAGATCAAGTCAAAATATATCTGTAATATTTATTTGAGCATTTATATAAAGAGAGATCATGAGATGGCAATTATAAGATTAGATTTAGAACAGAAACGTTAAATTAAAATATTGTGAGTGGTTGCCAGTATTATGAACTCTTAAGGTTGAAATATATGGGCATATTATTAACTCCAAAAGAAGTAGGATTTAATTATTCATAATAATTTCCAGTAGGTGCTGACCTATATTATGTTCAGTTGTAAATTAAGGCATTTCAATAGTTTTAAGCCTGCATTTAGATTCTGCTCAGGAGCTTGTTCATATAGAATGCCAAATCATTCTGCAGACATGGCCTTCTCATCTTTCATAATACTAACCCAGGATTATAAAGATAAACAGAACTATAGAACAGGGTTAAAACAAATGTAGAACTAATTACACTTACACTTAAGTGGACTTACTATCCAGGTGTCTGAGTTGGAAGGTCTTAGAAATCTAATCATAAAATAAATAAAACAAGTTTGTGATATGGCAATGGTGCCTGTTTTTAAAGAAAAAGAAATCCCATCAGGCAAACAGATTACTGAGAAAAATTACTTCTATTAAGTAACTTTTCAGATCGTGATCATTCAGTAAAACCTATGTATTATGCAGGAGCTCTCTTCCAAACAAGGAAACATTTGTATTTTGCTATCCTCTTACTCTCAACTTTAACTGAATGTAATAGCCATTAAGTGATTCTGCAACAATATTTGTATCCTATTTTGATGATGGTGATAATGATGTATTGCTTTTGTCATCACAAGCCTATTATATTTATGAAAGCCATTATCCATTTCATGTATTTTTACATATTGAATGTCAAATGACTTGTAATATCTTAATTACAACATAAATTAATTCTGTGTTGTATATTTTTTGTGTTTCCTTAATAGTCCTTAAATATTGGACATACACTTATTCTTTACATGCTTACCTATAAACAGCACCACTGAAAAAAGGTGACACTAATCAGTTTCACTTATTCTCCTGTAGGCTTCATTAACCTCTGTTCACATATAGATTCCTGACACATCTTCCAGTATTATAACTTTATGAACAGCAAGTCCTTGAGATCCATTAAGTTTTGGACAAACAGAAACTTTCAATTTGTATCTGCCTAGTTGGCAGATATTAATGAAGTAATTGCCTAGACTGACTAATTTTTTTTGTGATAATCCCTGATTTGATTAAGACTTATTCTCACTGAGGTCATATCAATCAATCCTCAAGAATTTGTGCAGTCTTCTAAGTTCCATGCACTTCTGCCACAGCAGTTTATAGGACTAAATATGTACTGCAGATGCAGAAAGATAAAAATGGAGGATCTAGATCAGTGTTTCTCAAGCTTGGCAAATTTAAAATATGTGTACTTCAACTCCCAGTATGCTGGCTGGAAAATTCTGAAAGAGGAAGTCCAGACATTTTATTTGCCAAATTTGACAAGCACTAATCTAGATAAATGCATCTTCTTGCAAGTCTTCATTTAGCTAACTTCTTCATATTTGCTTGGTGCAAGCTTGGTAAATCTAAAACAACTTCATCCAAAATACTGAACAAATAATAGTAGGACCATGTAGCCTATTTCAAAATACATTCCTCATTTGAAGGGCTGTTCATTTGATACACAGTTTAAAATGAAGAACTGGAAGAAGGAATCACATGGCCTTGAACCTGTTTCTCAGTAATTACCATTTGGAGAGCAGTCCCCTTGGTCACAGTTTTTCTCGCCAGTATAACGATTGCATTGCTCTTCAAATTACGGTAATTATTTCTAAATTGGTATCTGTGCATATGAATTAACACATATAAATTCCATTCAATTCAATGTCCCTTTTTAATGATGCATTTTCCTCTTTCTTTCCTTTTCTTTTTGGAAATTTTATGCATTGGTAATGGGCCTGATAAACTGCCCAAATTCCTTTTGGTAAAATGAAAATGTGGTGTAAAGGTGTGTCAAGGTCCCTGAGATATGGTCCCCAGAGACTTCAAAACTTTGTTCTTTTCATTTCTATTATAACAAAAGAGGGAATGATCAAATATCTACTAAACAGGAAAGTAACATATTCACTGTTTAATTTACATTAAATTCAAACTGAAATAAAATTAAATCAAGCTTAATTAATATAATATAAAAGAGAAAATCAATTTATGCTGCTAGGAACCAAAATGAGTTGATGATAAAGGAACTTCAAAAGGAAATTATCCTCAAGTTTTAGGATTGTGTGGATATTTTTTCCTGCTTTCTTCATTGTATCCTTTCTTGAAAATTTTGACCAATAATTTCCATTTCTACATTTAAGAAAAAGCATTTATCTCCTTCTAAAAATATTTAACTGGTCCTTAAATGTTCTTTCCTTTATGACTTGCATTAACTTATTTTTTGTTTTCTACAGAGAAGGCATGTTCTTACTATTAATGCTTTATTGTTCCCTGCTCCTTGGTTTTTATGCAGTGGGCTAAAAAGGGGTGTTCTTCACAGGGTGCTAAATTGTCAATAAATAAAGTTATTTCACTTTATTATATGAACATCTCACTGCATTGTGCACACAGATTCAAATTACATACTATAAAACAAAAGCCATAGCTTGGTAGAACTGTCCTAGTTTTATAGACAAAATCTTTTTCTGGATAGTTGAGGTAACTGTTTTCTTCTGTGAGGTTTCTGAATTAAGCTTGTTCATTATATTTTATGTTCTCTTTGTTTCACATAACTCATTTTTATTGGCTTTTCCTCAGTAGCCAGTAAGTGATCCTGTGAAACATCAAACTATTTTAGTATCATTACCTAAAGAAGATGTTTTTTTTACTAGAAATAGGAACTGTCAAGAAGATACAGTTTGCAAAGCTGTAATGCAGCTGTTGCTTATTCAGCACTTGGCAATCAGTGGCAGCAAAATATATTTGCAACTTAAAGTGCTATCTTACCTCTGTCTAATTTTTTTAATGGACATGCAAACTCTTAAGAGTTGAACTTTGGACGAGTTTCCAACAAAACCCTCTTTCTTTTTCTTCTCCGTATACATTGTTTGGATCTTTTTCAAATGCATAAAATGAATGCTTGGAACAATAAATCCTTTTTATAACTAAAATATAACCTCCATAAAACCATTTTTTTATAATTTGTAATTTTTTTTACTCTACTTGATGCATTTTCCTGAGGGCCTTTCATTCTCACTCCTTTGTCATCTCCCTTTATACTGCCAAAAGTAGTATTGTTGATTTGGATTGGAGGGTAGAGAAATGATAAAAGGACTGTATAACAACTAATCTTTGTAAAGAAACAAGAATGTAAGACGTGATAATTAATAAGACTCTTAGTTCAGGCAAAAGACAGCATGTTTCAAATATCTCTTTGCCCAAGATGTAGATTTGTAGAACAAAGCCCATCATATAGATAGAATTCAATAGGTAGGATTTTCTATTATTAATTTTCCTTGGTTTCCTTTAAAAAAGAGGTAAATGTGGAAGTCCTTTAGTGATACCTTTCCCACTGGTATATTCTTATGATTTCTGTACTGAGGAGGAAGAAATGTTGTCAAATGCAAAAACAAAAGAAAAGGATATTTAGAAGATAAACCAATGAAGCTGAGTTTTGATGCCTGCATTGTTTTCTCTACCAGGTGATACATTGGAACTCGCCCAAAAAGTTGAGAGTAAAGAACAAGCATGTGGAGTTTTTCCGCAACCTCTATCTGACATTCCTAGAATATGATGGGAACTTGCTGAGGCGAGAGCTTTTTGGATGTCCCAGTGAAGCTGATGTCAACAGTGAAAATGTAAGCTGGCCTTAAACTTGTGGTGGCTTTGATTTCCACAAACGTATGCAATTTGGAAGGGAGGGAAGGGATTTCTCTCAAACAGAAGATTGCAATTGTGCCAAATATCCTTAGTGGGACCAGGAAAATAACTAGCATGGCCAGCCCAAGACACTGAGTTCCCTGTGGCAAAGAACTGGACAGTACTCCTTTCCATCTCTTTATTGAAAGCTGACTGGATTAACAGTTGAATCTTCCTTCAGTGCTGGGTATGAGGGGTTTTTCACTATTTATTGAGACAAAAGTTCTCCAGATTGCGAGCCCAGCTTTTCTAAAGGACTTCCAAGCTCCTTAATTTATTTAATTAAGATTGATGGTTTAACTCAGAACTTTTTGCACTAAAAATTCTGAACTAAAATGAACTTTTCTCCAAGAATTGGAATATAGAGGAAAATAGTCTAAAATTTTGTTCCGCCACATTATGTGTGGTGGTGAAGTGATAAAGAAATGTATCTTTTTCAAGTTATGTGTCCTATATATATTTATATATCGTGATATAATAGGAAGTGCAATTTTAAAGTGCAATTATTGTGTAAGTGTATGAAATTTCAGGTAGTTTTCTTCAACAGTAGCTATATACAGAATCCTTTGTCCTTCCAGATACCTATGAAATATAATAGTAGTTTTCATATCACATAGAACAAAATTGGCCATTCAAATCCCTCAACAAAATGGTTCTGTAAATTTAAATTTAGGCATATTTATACTTAGCATCTTTCTTGTTGTGCATGTAATAGCCATTTATCTAATGTATCGGTAAGGAGACTATACTACCATATGTGAAGCATCTAAATTGATGCTCATCAAAACAAAGAACCATTAATAGTAAGAAAAAATGTGCTAGAGTGGCATAAGAAAAAGAGTATTGGTGTGTTAGCTTCTCTATATATTGAATGGTGATGATTGGTTATAACTATTGCTCGGGATGCTTATATATACCTTATGAGGAAATCTAAAGGCCAAAGATTATTTTATGAACTTATAACCGTGTTTTTCAATCCTAGCAACTTTAAGATGGGTGGACTTCCCAGAATTCCCCAGTCAGCGTGCTGGCTAGGAAATTTTGGGAATTCAAATCCACCCATATTAAAGTCACTAAAAATATGAAACACTTACTTTTAGGTTTCCCAAATGCATATCAGCCTATAATGGTTTGATTAAAGATATCTTTGCATTAATACATTCCAACCCAACAAGATCCATGATGGGAGGTATAAATCAACATATGTGGAAAGTTGCAGAAGGCCAAATTATCAAGGCTATTCTTCATTTGAGTCAGCTATAGTTTCTTTTTTGTTTCAAGCCATACAAACAGTGACATATTTCTGTTGTATACACCTTCCATTTTCCAGTGTTTGGTGCCATTAAATTAGAAGTGTTGACAGTCTGATGGAAATTCTTCAAGATACTGTACTTTTTATTTTGCTTTGTAGAGACACATTTTCCTAATCTGAAACATGGATCAAGCAGGTCCCACAACCTCAGTGAGAGTGGGGATGGTGGCAGACCTCAATGACAATAAAAGAGTTGTGTGTTTATGTGTCTATCAGGTGCATATTTAATCTGACTTTGAGACAAATATGAAAAGTAGCTAGAAAAACTTGGGATTCAGCATGTTGATGTCAGTAGCCGTTTTCTTTCCATGGCCATCAATGTGAGCCATATTAATATTTATTTGTTGGGTGTAGTATATTATGTAAACACAGAAGTTACATTTTGTTAACCAGAATTTAGGTATTAGCATGCACACCAATTATGATGTATTTGAGAACAGTGAAAATCAAAGTGTTTCTCCCCAAAGATAGAAGACCTCTGTTGACTTCTAATAAGGGCTATTTTAATGACTAGACTGACACATCCATTGTAGATTTCTTTGCAAATATTGTATGTTGCGGTCTTATTTCAATTATTCTTTTAAAAAAAACTTCTTAACTAGTCTATAGCCTTGGTATTCCCTCGTGGTCTAACCAGCTTAGGAACAATAATTAGATGGGTTTTGTGATTTCAGACACAATTTTGTTAGAGCAGATTTGCCTTGATCCTCAAAAATGTCAGATATGACATATGGAAAATAGTGAGGTCCCCATTTGAAATACCAATCATTTGTGGTCTTTGGGCAAGAATATTTAATGCCTGTGCAAAATGGTTATGTAATGTACTTCCATCATTTTATAATAGCTGTTTCCTGCAGAGAAATTATTAATGCTGCCATCTCTCCTATATTCTTTCCTAGCACCAGATATTTTGCAAAATGTGAGTAAAGACCAAAAGAAGGAATAACTTTGTTTAATAGTGCAGCCTATAATCTTCTCTTTCCATATTCAAGTTGAAGTATGGATGATAATGCAGTCAACTTTGTACTCAGAAAATAAAATAGCAGAATACAGGAGAAAATGATGCTTGTATTTTAAAATGAGCTTCTTTGCACTACATGTAATTTTTGTGCTGAAGGCAGGAAGCAAATTATACATGCCCAATAGACAAGCTGGCCATTCACAGAAGAAGACCGAGTTCAGAATTTAAACAGCTTTGCCACTGATAATTTGGGTGCTGGCTGAATGGTAGCCTTCATTGTTTATAATATCAATGGTTTATGCCTGTAACTGGCAATCTGGCAGTATCAGAATTCACCCTCAAGGGGTTCTTTCAATGTGTAAGCTGTTACAATTTAGCAAGTTGTGTTATTAGAGGTATTAGAATTTAATTTGTAATTAAGAGAGCTGATTTGGAATGCAAATATCTGTTAAATACCTAATGGAGTTCACTTGATTTTATGCTGCCCTCAGTTATGTTTTGGCCTCATTACAATACACTAAGTACTAAGAACAAGCATTACTATGGGCATAAATTAGATTGCTTTTGCCTTATTCTTTTTGTTTCTTTGCTTATATGCAAAATAATCCATTATCCCCATATAATAAAAATTTTTAACATGCTGTTAGCTCATTTTCCTGTACATTTTTTTCTTCTTTGGATTTTGGTGTTTTGAGTTAAAGTTAATTGTTGTTTCTACTATTAGTTTAATGATTGACTGTTATGGAAGGATGTAAGTTATAACATTAAACCAGCTCCACAACTAGCCCCATAGAAAAGGAATGTATCACAGTTTTGTGTGTATGTGTGTGCGTGTGTATTAGTTGTATACTTTTAATAAGGTATGTATTCAGGTTTTTTCCTTGTGAAATTGTTATCTGATCATTGCTATAGTAAGAAGAAATAGAGCTGATGTGCTGGAATGCTCTGAACAGTTTACTAGATCACTATGATAGTGATCTTTAGAGGAAGAAACACAAAAAAATGGCATACCTGACCTTGGAGCTAAGATGCAGTGCTCAGCACACTAACATCTGTGTAGTTGTCATGTGACTGTACAGTCTTTTTTCCCTTATTTCCCAGAGAGGGAAATAATAAACTTTTTAAAGAACTATTAAGCAACCAAATTTTAAGTTGTGTGAGTTTGTATAGGTAAGGGAGTCCGATTAAATTACCATAGCAGCAAAACCACTGTTTGGAGACAAAAATGGAAGGGGTTAAGAAAGAAGTAAATGCAGAATCTATAAAGTGGAATATATTGAGATTTACCAAATAATAATTCTTGAGAAAATATGTGAAAAATTGTCAACATTAGATAATACTTTTCTGGAAGAAAGTGATTGGTAAACAAGATTTATTTATCAAAACTGAGATCTTTGAGAAGGGCCCACAAATAAACTTGCAATCATTAGCATGAAGACTGCCTTTCTTGACAAGATTGCTTTTCTTGACTATGCTCCATTCATATACTTCCCAAAATAACAGCCAGGAATGTAAGTGTACAAGAGGAACTGATTGCTTGTATTTGTGCATGCATCGCTTGTGTTGGTTTCTTTCTCTTTCTTGGAAGTATGTTGGGTAGCTCCAAGGCACATAGCACAAAATGTGAGATAGTACCTTGTCCCATACTTCAAGTCTGGAAAATGTTACTGAGGCCAGTTTGATTCTCTGATTTCCTTCATATTTAAGTGATTGTCAGAAACTGAACCTAAGCAATTAAATTGTATATCAACAGAAGAAAATAAAAGCAGAAATTTGAGTTAAATTGAGAATGACTACTTCAATACTTGGAAGAATACTAATTATTTTTTGTGTAGCAACAGGGCAATGTTGTATATATACATACTCCTTCTAAAATGTCTCTTCTGGACAATTCCTTCTTATTTGTGGAGATTTTAAAGCTAAGGTTTTATAGATATTTCTATGTATTTTTAGTATGAGCCCAGTATGAGAAATCAGAGCAAGTACTTACTAAGTGAAATTAAATAAATGAATATTAGATGATAAACATATATGGGCAAATATCCTTTTTCCCCTGTGGAAAGCTACTCCTTAGGGATCTGGTTGAAAGAGCTATAACAAGTACACACTTACACTACTAGCTGGAAAACTGATCTATTAGGACAACTCTCAGCATGTTCTTCCGTGTGCCCATTCTCTTGATTGATAACAGTTTGGAACTTCATGTAACATAATTAAGAATACAAGTGATTATCTGTAATCATTATATCAAAGAAAAAATTTTAAGGGATGCAGCTTCAGGCTAAGTCTCAGATGTGAGAATTATCATGCCTCCAAACAAATATCCTTCTATATAACTGTTAAAGATGTATTATTTATTTGTCTACCATAATGCAGTCAAAACCAATTTTCTCATCTAAAGGTATATACAAAACAAAAATTAAAACTTCTGTGTTTAGATTAAAACTAATTAGAATCATAATAACAACAAATACATCAAAGCCTACCTAAGACACAAAAAGTGAAAGAAAATGAGATGGTATCAAGTATCCACTTAAGCCAAGGCCCTCCAAATTGGCCCTCCAATTACACTTTTAAGCCTTTCCTGGAAATCCAAGAATACCAGCATTAAAACACAAAAGCAGAGCCTTCCTGCTTTAGCCTTCTGAACCTCTTGAAAATGTTCC